GTCCCGCGGGCGTGACCATCACAAACTGCTGGTCTGACGAGAACACCCCCAGCCGCTGCATCGCTGAGGGCAGGGGCCCCTGCAGGGCGTTGCGGCTGGCGTCAAAGTGGAACAGCTGGCTGGCGTGGTCGGGTCCTGCTGGGTCCGGCAGCGCCGCCGCAAAGGCCTCCAGGCTGCCACCGAGCTGGTTGCCCTCCAGGCGTAGGGTGCCCAGCTGGGGCTGGCGGGCCAGGGCCGGCGGCACCGTGCCTGGTGGGCAGTCAGGGCAAGCAGGGGGTTGAGTGATTGGTGGGTGGCTATGGACCGGCAGGCGCAGGAAAGGGTCCATCGAGGATCGGTCAATGCATGTGCCCGGTCAAGTTCCAACTTGAGATGTGCCCATGCCGAGGCGCCAGCTGGTCACAGCCCCTGGGCCAAGAGCCCTGTCGCCTGAGGCCCCCCGCTACCCCGCTTCAGCACAGCCCCCGCACGCTCCAGGCCTGGGCCCATCATCACCCGTTAGTGAGTTGTCTGAGAGCAGCAGCATCTCCAGGAGGGGAGTGTCCCAGTCCGCAGGGATGGCTCCCGCCAGCTTGTTCACGCGCAGGCTCAGCATAGTCAGGGTGCTGTTGGGGCGCGGTTGAGGGCGGTCGGTTGGTCAACTGAAGTTGAGTGGGGTGAGGTTGAGGCGAGCAGCGCGCTGGCCGACGATGCGAGCCTGTCATCTCTTGAAGCACGCTGCCTCGCTCCACTCCAGCAGCAATCCGATCTCTATGAGGAGGGCCGCCCGGTCGTGGTTCCAATGAGCAGGCGTGCTCACCGAGACTTGGTGGCGCTGGCAGGCACTCCCCCAGTGAAGGAGTTGTTGCCCAGCCTGAGCTCCGCCAGCTGCCCGACCTGCAGCCCGCTGATGTCACCAGAAAGCCCCAAATTGCTGCTCACATCCATCACCACCAGGGCAGGTGGCAGTGCGGGCAGGGAGCCTGCAAGGGGGGGGGGCAACGTCATGGGTGTGGTGGCAAGGCGAGCTGGAGGCCGCGCCCTTCCACGGACATGGGACCTGGCCAGCCGGCGATGGCCCTATGCTCCTGCCTGCATAGTTCGCCGCCGCCTGCGGTTTTGTTCTCTGTGCGCCTGGATGCGGCCCCACGTTTCCACCCCTTCACCTGCCAACCGGTTGTAGCTGGCGTCCAGCACAGCCAGCGCAGGCGGTAGCTCAGGCAGCGGCCCCTCAAAAGCGTTACCGCCCGCCAAGAATGCCTCGAGACGCGGCAGGCGGGCCAGGGGGGGCACGGCCCCGCTGAAGCTGTTGGCACTGAGGTCTGTCACCCACAGGTTTTCTGGCAGGGGGGGCAGCGTGCCCTCCAGCTGGGGAGGGGGCGTGGGGGGTGGGCGTTGGGGTGCCCGGGCGTGGTGCGGGGTTGTGGGATCACGATGGGCAACGGGTTGCATGGTCCCACAATGCACCAAGTCAGGTGTCGCGGGATAGCGGGGTACATTTAGAGGTGCTTTTGATGGATGGAAAAGAGCAGGCTGCACGAGATGTGGTGTGAGCGCAATCTTCGGTGAGTTCAACTCCACCCTGCAGCACACACAAGGGCTCACATTGCAGGCGGACACATTGAAGACAATGGCGTTGGGGGGCACCGCGGCCAGGCGGCCGCTGAAGTTGTTGCCGGCGAGGTTGACGAAGAGGAGGGAGTCCAGGGCCAGCAGGCCGGGCGGCACAGGGCCTGGGGGCAGCGGAGGCGAGGACATCACGCAGCTGAGGAGAGGTCCAAGACTTGCGCTGTGAGGGAACGGTAGCACGATTACAAGGCTTCCAGGACTGAATGGCTGACTCGTGTCACGCTGCTGCTGGTGGGAACAAACCGCCGTGGCGGGTCCAGTGCCCCACCTGAGAGCCCGCCCTTTGGCCTTCGCTGGTTGCCGAGTGCCAGAGCAATAAGGGTGCTCTTCTGGTAGCTGTCCAGGGGCAGCGTGCCCGACAGCTCGTTCCTGGGGCGGGAGATGCGATGGCAGGGTTGCGTGGCCGGCGGTACAAAATCAGCCTCAAATCAGAGGTGTCGCACCTGCACAGAGCACAAAACACCGCCAGCTGCCGCTCTGCAGCAGGCTTGCACGGCCAGCTCTGTCTCTCCGTTGCTTAGCACCACAATCGTGGCTCGTCTGGTAGGCGCTTACGCATGTTGCCACTCCTCCCCCAAAATACCCACCTGCCGAGGTAGAGCTCCTCTACTGGCGAAGACAGCATGCAGGCCGGGACTGTGCCACTGATGAAGTTTGATGACAGCTCGTACACCTGCAAGGAGCATGGCGGGTGAGACGCGAAGGGGGGAGGGGAGCGACCGTGTGTGCGTGCGCGCGCCCATGGGCAACAGGTATGTGCACAGTTATCCATCCATGTCTCCACCATTGCAGGGCTCACAGCGAACGGTGCTGCCTGCCATCTGTTCTGCTTTGCCAGAAAAAACTGCAAAAATCTACTGCACATGCGCGCCCCCTCCTTCTTTGCTGTGCGCGGTTGCCTTCCACCTGCTGTGTCCCCGCACCTTGCGCAGGGGTGTGATGATGCTGCAGTCCAGGGGGCCCCCCAGCCTGGTGTTGGAGAGGTACAGCTCGCGCACAGGAAGCTGGGACAGTACCTGGGCACAGGGTGGAGATAAGGGGACAGCGGCAGTGGCAGGGGTGCAGGGATCAGAGGATGGGGGCTGCCATCAAGCCCTGGAGCCCTGACAAGCCCTGGAGCCATCGCCCTGACGTGCCTCGGTCCCAGCTGCCCCTCCCCCACCAGCAACCTCCAAAACACCGCGGTCGGCCGCGTGGCGCCGCGCACCGCGGCCACGTCCTTGACATCGGCCTGTAACTCGTTGCCGCTAAGGTCCAGCCGCGCGAGTGAGCCTAGCTGCGACAGCTCCTTGGGGAAGGTGGAGCACTTGAGACCGGCGTCGCGCAGTGACAAGCTGAGCAGGTGCCCCTCCGCATCACACAGGTTGGGCGGTGTGTGGCACAGGTCGCTGGGCCAGGCGTGCTTAGGGGCCAGCGCGGCTGGCGCACTGTGCGAATGACGGGTGTTGAGCGCACGGGCCATGTTGTGTGTGCGGGAGAGGAGGGGGGTTGGGGAGGGGTTGGCGTGGGTGTGGGCAGCTGGGGCCAGGTGCAGGACGTCTCCTGCACCAGCGCTCGGCAGCTTGTGGGCTCACTCCGCGCAACATCTGAGCGGATGTTTGTGGCCAGCTATCAGCAGCCGCGCGCCCCAGCACCCCTCTGCCGCTGCACCCCCAGCCGTACATGGTGGTGCAGAAGGGCGCCTTTGCGTTGGCGGAGCCGCAGCACCTCTTGGCCACGGCAGCCATGGCAGCGAGCTCCCTGGCATCGAGCTGCAAACCGCTGCCCGGCGTGGCCACGGTCACCTCGACCGTGGGGGAGCCCGACTCGCCCCGCAGCCGCAGCGTGTAGAGCCCTGGGTTGTCCGCCAGCTGCTGGGGGGACACTGCCAGCCACGACTCAGAGGATGCGGCGCTGTCGCGCGAGGCGGTCGCCACAATGCCGGCACCGCCGCCCACGTCACCTGGGCCGCCTGAAGAAGACGGCAGGAACAGGTCCCTGGCGCGTTGCAAGGGGGAAGAGGTGATCATGGGGCACGGGGCAGCGCGATAGAGGGCACCAGCAGGCGGGGTCAGAAGCCCAGAGAACAAGGGTTGGTTGCCGCCAGGCCACACTGTAACAAGGTGCAAGTCGGCCCCGCGAGCCACCGGAGGCCCGCCATGCCACCGCCGCGGCTCGTCGTTCGTTGCCCCGTCCTCTACCCGAGTCGCCCAGCCTTGGCCTCACATCAGCGCGGTGCCGCCGCGGGCGCGCAGCACCACGATGAGGCTCATCTCGCTGGCGGGAAGCACCCCAAACTGGTACAGGTGCGTCTCCCCGACAGCCAGCTGCGGCAGCGCAATGGTGCAGCCTGCGTCGCCGCCCTTGGCAATCGTGCCGTCCTGCGCCTCCGCCACCGGCACAACGCCTGGGAGCGAGTGCACCCGGGCGCCGAAGGGAAAGTTCCGTCTTGTGTTGTGATACAAGGCCGCTGCGCGCACCCTTCCCTTGTGGGTCCCAGCGCCTGTGGTGCACCCCACAGACCGCCCGGGACTCGAGGCTGCCGTATCCGCACCTGCAGGAAGCACGCCCGGCACGGGCTTCGGCGGCAGCTTGCAGTTGGGCTGGTCAGTCAACATCTGGGGTACCGGCTGCTCCTGTGCCGTGGAGGCTCCTAGCAGCAACAGCAGCAGCAGCACTAGCTGCGCCGCTGCGATCCCTGTGCTGCACGCCATTGTGTTGTGGGCGGCTACCCGCAGGCCTGCCACGCCTCACAGGCTTTGCCCTGCGTCTATCAGGGATCAATACGGTAATAGGCGCGGGTCACCGCGCTGGCAGCAGCGAGTGCCGTCAACGAACACCGTTGCGTTGGCCTGACATGTACGTGTGCGACATGTCATGCGATCAAGATGAGTAGATATATTATGATGTAAGATCCTGGGTAATGGTCCAGCTCCCTGATGATCCTGCGCATGCACGGCGCACTGGAGGTGCAGTTGGGGAGTTGGTGTGCAGACCGTACAGTACGACGACAGCCAAGCCCCGCTTCGAAGCAAGTCGGTGATGTCCTATGACCTGCACGAGCTCTTGTCTGCCTCATCAAGACTGCACGATTGCTGAAAGGCACGCACGGAGCCCGCACAGCAAACAGCACAGGCAGCATGAGACGCCAAAGCTGGGAGGTCAGGCAGGGGCACGGCATGGTATGGAAAGACCTGGCCTGCCATGGCTCGGCATGGTATGGAAAGGTGTGAAGATGAGTGAAGGGTGTGCCATGCAGGAATCATGGGCGTCAATATGCAGAATCCGCAACACCAGCAAAATGCTCTGGTGTGTGCACGCATGTGCTGGTGCGCAATGAGAGTCTGTGTGCGCGCACGCGCAAGTGTGTGAGTGTGCGTGCGTGCATGTGTGCGCGCACGCATGTGGGGTGCGGATGCGGATGTTGACAGTGCCCGGGCATGACAGCCATCTCAGGGGCAATGGCACGGGCGGCGGCTGAGCAGTTGCACAAGAGTCTGCTGGTCTGCGGGCGGTGAGGGTAGAGGTGAAACTGCGCACATGACACCTTTCCAGGCCGCAGCCTGCTGGACGGCACGCACAGGCAGGTGCGCCCGGCTGACATGACATCAGCGCGCTGACGGGGGAGGGACTGCGTGGGTGCCCTTGGTTCATTGGTGCCATGCACAAGCGCACTCACCTCACGATTAACCATAAACAAATCATACACCACTACCAGCATAGTCTTACGTGTACGCGCTTTCGCTGTTCTACCGCACCGTACCGGTATCGTTTACACGGTCAGGAGAGCTATTTTCATCAGTGTCGCGTCGCTCTTGGCGTGGACCCCTTGGAGTCGAGTGCATAGCACCGTGAATGAGTTTGTGAAATGCCGAGGTAGGCGCATGTTGAAGGAAACATCACGGGGGCGGGCGGGCCTTGCAACTGGGCGCGACTGACGAGCGCAGCGGCGCGCCGCATGCCAACAAACACGTTCTTTACGCCACCCTCCTGCCAGAGACAATCGAGCCGACTGCGTCGCCTGACGGCTAGCAATAATCAGCTCGGCAAAGTATTTACCCCCTGCTACCTTTGTGTGCAGGCTTGCTCTGCGTGCAGGACGACACACCCGCTGACCAGGAGCGGGCTGATGCCGGTTGGCAAGTCAGCGCTGGCCTACGTCGCCACGCCGTCGGCGGTGTTCTCGGTGTCACTGCCAGACGGCGCAGTAGCTGTGGCCTCTCAATGGGCGCGGCGCGACCTGTCGCCGTGGGCCCTCTTCTGCCGCGAACCATCAGAGCTCCTGCTCTGCCTAGGGGCGCTTGGTAGCGGACCCCGCAGTCACCAAGCCCAGGGGGAAGCTATGGGCGCCCTGGTACAGCTGACGTGAGTTCATGGCAGAGTGAACGTGCCCTCGTGGCGACCCTTAGTGCGGCTTCTTCTAAACTACTGCCTGCGCCTGCTCGATTGTGTGTGAAGCCCTCGCCCTTCATCAGGGGCTCACGCTTGCGCCCTTTCATTGTTCCCACACGTCCTGTTGGCTCGCCCCGTGCCCTATCTGCCCCTATGCACTCGCGTGCTCATGCGCCCCACCGCCAGCCTGGGGTCAATGGAGGACCCGGGCGAAGCTGCGGGCGAGCCGGCGGATGAGGCCAGCGCGGTCCAGCTGTGGCGGGGTGCCTCCCCAGCACGCACCGCCGCGGTGCTCGACACCGACAGCGGCGCGCGGCGTATTGTGCTGGCAGCAGGAGGCGGTGGAATGGCTGTGTATGATGCTGGGGCTGGCTGCTGGGCCAACGCCGGTGGCGAAGGCGGCGATTGTGCAGGAGTGCGCGTCCATGCCCTCGACTTTGCCCTGGAGCCCGCGACAGGAGCGCGCCTGCTGGCGGCCTCGGCCTGGCTGCCTGGTGCGGGGCCGCGGCTCCTGTTGTCACGTGGCATCATGGCAGGGGCGGCGCCGGAGGACTGCGAGTTTGAAATGCGCGCTGTACCGGGCGCGGACGGCGTGCCTGCAGGCGCATGCCTAGTGCGGACGGACCCATCAGAGCCGGCGCGGCTTTACGCACTCGTGGCGCCTGCCAAGAAGCAGCTTCCCAGCGAGGCAGCGGGATCCCTGGAGGCCAATACGGCGTGTGAGGGCGGCGCAGTTGACTGCGGCGGCGACTCGCTGTGGATGTCGCAGGACCTAGGGGCAACATGGACTGCCCTGGGCGGTGCGGACAGCGCAATGCTGTCGTTTGGTGTGCACCTGCACCTGAGCGGCTTGGCGTTGTGCGGCTGCGACACGCGGCCAGGGAGGCTGCTGCTGACGGGCAGGGCGGCTGGCCCGCACGCGTCAGCCCAGGTACCCATGTGCAGTGGCAGCCGAGACTGCGGCCAGGCAGTGGGGGCGCCCGTGGTGCTGTACTCGTCCGATGGCGGGGCGACATTTGCCGATGTGAGTGCAGCCGTGGCCGCAGCAGCGGAGCCGGCGGCTCGTGCAGCCGCGGAGCGCCACCGCCAGCTGGAGGCCCAGCATCCCGGCCGCGCGCCGCTCCATCACCACACGCACGCCTCCAACAAGAAGGAGGGCTCAAGAGGGCCGTTGCCGCTTTTCATCCACGGCGCGGCGGTTTTGGCGCTGCAGGATGGCCAGGTACTGTTCAACGCCGACCCTGATGCAGCACCTGAGGCGTGGCATGCGGTTTGCCAGCTGCCGGGGCCAGTGGTGGCACTGGCATCAGATGACGGCCTCTCATCACCCAGCGCCAAGCTGCAGGCGTAGCTGCGCTGCGGGGGGAATGTTAGTTTGGCCTGAGGCTCGCATTCAGGCCCCAGTTTCGGTTATTGTAGTCACATATGCAGTATTCTTTTACGTTTCCTCCTTGACACTTGCTTTTTTTGAGAAACCTAGCACAGTCCATTCTCGTCGTGCCATGTCCTCCTCGGTGTGCCGCCTTCACGCTTCCTCGGTCTGGACAGCTCCCTGGCAAAGTGATCACCCCCCTTGACGAGACACAGCACAGGCACAGTCACCTTACAATTGGGCATGATGAGGCTTGCCCGCCTTGTTGTCACGCGTGTTCTTTTCGACGCTCGCAGCGGTGCGTACGCTTTCGGACGCAACGGTCTGTGCGCGCGTACGGTTGTGCCGTGGTAACTTGCCAGGCCCAGTAGGCGCAGCTGTTGAGATCTGTGGCGCAGATATGCAACTGGTGGTCGTCATGTTCAGTCGTGCAGTCCTTCCCTAGCACCAAGATGTTTCGGAGGCATTCCGGGAGTCGCGTTCACGAGTCCAAGCATTGTTGCCAGGACGCTCAACCACGTCATATGCAGTCACAGTCGGAAGAGAGCTAAACAACAGCTCATGCGAGCCCTTCGTGCCGTCCTGTGCTTTCTTTCCGTGATCACGGTTCTGATCACCGCGTTCTTCAGCAGCCGTTTGCCGCCTCCGCGAAAGCGCATAGATCTGGGAAATAATAGTGTTCTTTATGCTAGGATGGCCGACCACCGCCTGGTCGTGATTGGCAGCGGGCTGGCGGGGCTGACGACTGCGCTTGAGGCAGCGCGCACCGCAACAGCACTCGAGGTGTGTGGCACGGTCGCCCACTGAGACCATAGAGTTTGCGGCTGACGTTGTGCAGGTTGCATGCTGCACATACAGTCAACCTTCTGGCAGGGGTGCCGCAGTCCACGCAGCAGTCCATGCGGGCTGAATGTGCTGCACAGCTTGAAGCAGAGGATGACGGGAGGAGAGACTGGAAAACCGTGCTCCTTGTGGCAAGGCCGCAGCCACACCTGCCTCGTGTGCCTGCTTGGCATGACATACATGCCTGTGAGCGTTGCTGTTCTTCCGATCTTGCATGCCAGGTGCTGGTTCTGGAGAAGAACCCGCAGGTGGGGGGCAACAGCGCCAAGGCCAGCAGCGGCATCAACGCCGTCAATCCCGCTGGGGGGGACTCGCCAGCCACCTATTCTGACGACACGCTACAGTCGGGCGGCGGCCTGAGCGACTCGCGGCTGGTGGAACGCCTGGTGGTGAGGGCCTCGGCGGCCAGGGCCTCGGCATTTGGGGTGGGGTGTGTGCCTGGAGGGCGGACGGAGGGGTGCTGTAGAGTCTTGTACTCGTTACGCGCCAAGGGCCTGCTGGGCCCCGGCACGGCGTCCCCCAGGACCGCGTGGTAGGGACGCGCGGCGCCGCAGAGTTGAGACAATGGGCGCGATCGGACCATTTGCTGCTTGAGCTTTTTAAACAAAGGCACCTGCGTCCCCGCTGGCGCCGCCACACCACCCCCTTTTGACCCGCCACACCTCGTACGTTAACCTGGTTACTGCCCCTCACTGCCTGCAGGCGTCTAGCGAGGACGCCCTCCGGTTCCTGGAAGCCCTGGGCCTCGACCTGTCGGTGGTGGTGCAGCTTGGGGGCCACAGCGTGCCGCGCACCCACAGCAACCCTTCCGGCCCCAACGTTGGCTTTGCCCTGGTGCGGGCGGTGGAGACGGCGGTGCGGCAGCAGCCAAACGTGCGCATTGTCACCAATGCCAAGGTGAGCAGATGCGTTTGTGCACCCAACAAGGCCTTGTTGGGTGCTCATGATGCGTTGTGGGCATGTAGTGCGTCCTGACGAGTGGCACTTCGAACGCGCGGCGCAGCAGTAGTGACAGCTTTTGCCGGAGGTGCTGAGCTCCCTCTTCCGGCGCTGCCTCTCAAACAACCTATTCCCCAAGCAACTCTTCATTCGAGCGCAGCCTGGACATGTTTGACTTTATACGAGCTAACAGCAATTGTCACATGTGATGAAGTCCATGCAATCAGTCTGAACCCCGGCCCTTTCACCCTTGCGCGCTCTGCCCTCATTTCAGGTGACATCGGCCGCCTACTCGGCCGATGGACGCTTGGCTGTGGGCTACACCCTTGGGCTCGTCGCCACCAAGCCTGACAGCGGCAGCGGGGGGGTTGGCGTTGCGCCCGAGGAGGTGACCGTGCTGTGTGACGGCCTGGTGCTGGCCACCGGTGGCTTCGCCGCGTCGCGCGAGATGCTGGCGCGCTATCGCCCCGACGTGGCGGGGCTGCCCACCACAAACGGGCCGTGGGCCACGGGGGACGGCGTGGCGCTGGGCGGCGCGCTGGGCGCGCGGCTGGTGCAGATGGACCAGGTGCAGGTGCACCCCACAGGTGAGGGGGGAGGGGGGGGGGCTCGTGGTTGGGGCTGCGCAATGCAGAGTGGCCCCGCGAGGGCGCCTGCTGGCGCGTTGTTTCTGAATGCAAGCGGCTGATTAGGCGCATCACGGGCCGACCAGTTTCAGGCTTTGCCAGTCTACAAACGGTGGGGCCCCTTCATGAACTGCCGTCCATCCCAACGCGTCCCCACCCTCCAGGGTTTGTTGACCCAGGGGACCCTGACAGTGGCACCAAGGTGGGCGCATCAGCAGCTGTGCATGGAGACTTCTTTTGCTGAGGGCAGCACCTCAGACCTGCGCGATTTACAGATGATTCACCTGCAGTCGCGGGCGTGCACATGGGTCTTGCTGAGCCGACCCCTGGTGACGCTATGGCCGAGCTGTCCAACATCCCAAAATCCCTGTCAACCCACTGTACATCCCTTGGCTGCTCGTCCAATCCAACCGGCCAGTTCCTGGCCCCTGAGAAGCTGCGCGGCTGCGGGGCGCTGCTGCTTGACGACTCAGGGCGACGCTTTGTCGACGAGTTGGCGACGCGTGACGTGGTAACGGCGGCCATCACTGCGCAGCCGCGCCACTCTGCCTGGCTGCTGCTGGGGGCTCAGGGCGCGGCCAGGTATGGTGAGGGCACTCTGGGCTTCTACAGCAGCAAGAAGCTAGTGACCAAGGTGAGCGGGGGGGAGGGGGGGCGGCTGCGGGTGCAGGGGACAGCCAGGGCGCAGGACAAAGGGGCAGCTCTGGTCTTACGCTGACTGGCACTGGCGCGCATCTTGCTACACCTGCGCATCGCTGCGCATCGCAGCGGCGCACAATGGTCAGTAGCGTTGCCCGCACGCATCACAGACGCCGGGTTGCACGCACGCAACCTATCTGTGGTGCCTCCACTACTGAGCGTAGGTGGAGAGCGCGGAAGCTGGGGCGCAGCACATGGGCGTGGACGCGGCGGTGCTACTGCAGGAGCTGGCTGCACACAACACCCTCGCGGACGCAGCGGCGGCAGAGGCCGAGGCCGCGGCCGCGGCAGCTGCAAGAGTTGGGACGGTTGACCAGGGAGGGGCGCACCCTCCCCCGCGCGATGTGACCGGCAAGCGCTACTTTCACGGCCGCGTGGACGTGAATGCGCCGGTGTGGGTGGCACGGGTGATGCCAGTGGTGCACTACTGCATGGGCGGGATTCAGACCAGGCCTGACGCCGCGGTGCTGGGCCAGGACGGGGCCCCGCTGCACCGAGTGTGGGCGGCGGGTGAGGTGTCCGGGGGCCTTCACGGCCGCAACCGCCTGGGCGGCAACAGCCTGGCAGAGTGTGCAGTGTTTGGTCGTGTGGCGGGGCGCGCCGCGGCTGCAGCCATTGTCAGCAGCACCCCCGTAGCAGCCGGTCAGCAGGTGGCCCTGTGATCCCTCCCGCTCTCATCCCATCCCAGCTGTGCATGTGTCCTGCGCAACCCGCCCACAATCAGAGGTTTCATTGTTGCATTTCTGGTGGACAGTTGCATACACAGGCAATTTGTACAGTTGCCGAGTTGATCACTGTGGCGGCTGTCAAGACCTGCAAGCTCAACTCAGCCGGCCATGCTGGCAGGTTCAACGATATTCAGTGCTTTGTATGTACATTGATGTGCAGGAGTTGCAATGTTACAAACATGATAATGGCACTCTCAAACCGTGCTCATGGAATCCCTTGGGCGCGCTGGCCGCGGAGGGCCGCCAGCGCCTCGACAACAACATCACCCAGTGGGGTGTGGGTACTGGAACCAAACATGAAATAGGGACAGCTGCAGTGCGACAACTGCAACAAGGACAGCCCGTAACCCGGCCAGCATAAGAACCTCGCTGGAACCAATCAAGTGCACACACGTTGCCGCATGTTTCAGTGCCCTGGGTCGTACCCCTGTGAACGGACAACACTCATCGCCGATGATGTGCCCAAAGATGTGGTGTTGGTGGTGCATTGTGAATTGGCGTGTGCGCGTGTTGCACTCGTGTAGCGCCGCTGATCACAAAGCTCACCAGGCATGTGCTGAAGCGGGTCTGGCCGCGATTTGGGCGCGGTGAGGTGTGGGTGTCATGCATGTGCGGCGAGCATGAAGCATAGAAGGATGGCGACGACGGGGAGTTGCCATGACTTTGCGAGAATGCTTGGCAGCATGCATGCTGTGCGTGTGTCTGCCTCTGGTTGAAACACCAGAGACCCATGGTAGGTGTCAAAAGCAGCTGGCGCTGCGGAGCCGTGTGCCGCCGTCGAACAGACCCCGTCCCTGAAAAGACATCGTGTCAAGCGAGGCGGACAATACAAAGGGCCTCCGCTGCGTAAAAGAAACATGCAGGGTTGCTGGCGCCAGCCAAAACCTGGCGCACAGTCTTGCTGCTGCTCGCCACCACCCGGGCCCGACACGGCGGGCGTCTGGGCCCCAGCGGAGTGAGTTGCCAATGGAAACAGGTTTGCGCCGTGTTGCGTGCGCGTGGGACGCCGATCGGATGCGTTCGGGCCCTTGTTCCCTGAGCTCCCCCAGCCCCCCCCCCAATGTTGCGATGTGAGATGTGCGTTGCCATGATTTGTTGGCGCGTCAACCGCCGTCCTTATCAGTGGGCTACCTTCAAGCTTGCTTGCAGCCCCACCAGCGGGCGTCATTACGCACACACTTGAGGCCTCGGGCACACTTTGCCCTGCTGTAGGCCTTGTCTTGGCACTGGTCCTTGCCGGCGCTGCTGCAGCCAAATCCAGTGCCACCTGCGGTGGTGGTTTCAGGCGGACAGGAAGGGGAAGTGAGGGTTTGGGCGTTCGGCAACCAGCCTACGCAGGTGAGAATGAAACACTACAGTGGGAAGCATAGCGACCGCAGGGCTGCTGGGGAGGTGATGGCAGCACAGGGGCGACCACCCACGACAACCTTGGCAGCACAACAGGCGACATGCCCTCACAGCACCCCTTCCTCCCAACAAGCCAGCGTTTCAAGCTTGGTGCCATCCCAGTTGAGCTCACCGCACTGATCACCAGCCAACAGCTGCTTTGTCCCGGTAGCATAACGCTTGTTGGACATGTCGCCGCCAGCCCCGCCGCCACCGCTGCTGCTGCCGCCCCCGCCGGCGCCACTGCAGCCTGGCATGTCTGCACGACAGGGCAGCTGCGCTCCTCCCGTGCATGTGCCCGAGGTGCAGCAGATGCGGTCCTCCACGACGTCCCCCAGGATGCTGCGCAGCCGCAGCCAAGCGCAGCCACCGTCGTTCCAGGCCTCCCCCTCGCCGCCGTGGTACTCGTGGTAGTTGTCTGGGGATGCCAGTGTTCAGGTGTTATTTGATCCCAGGGGGAGGGAGTCAGCATTGTACGCATGGGACACCGTCAAGCTTCACTCCAGCCTGTTGTGCGCGCGTGCTGCTGCTGTCACTATTGTATTTGAATCTCCCGCGAGCGAGTTAGGTGTGTCTGCCTGCAGCAACGCGCACAGCCCAATGTCCCTTCGGGCCCGCCGCCCGAGCTCGCCACCCTTGCACAGCTGCCGCCCCTCACCTATGGTCTTGACGAGCTGCTGCCAGGCACCGTTGCGCTTGATCTGGACGCTTTCAATGGGCACACGTGCATTGGCCACCTGGATCTTCTTGTAGTACGGGTTGCCGCCCTGGAACCCAAATTTGAAGGTGCTGCTGCCCACAGGGCACTGCACGGGCTCCCACTCCACCTTCCAGCGGCCGTCGCCGCCCTTCTGCAGGTCAACATCCCCATACTTGCACTCGGGACACTGGTCACTGTGGAGGGTTGGGGGCCAGAGTTGCAGAGAGAGGGTTCGCACCAGGTACCACTTGCATGCTGACAAACCTCACCGGCACAGGCAGGTTGAACGACAGGTGACTTGGCCCACTTTGTCCTTGCCAAAGCCATGGAGGCAGCCAACCCACGGATTTTGCGCGCGGCGGCGCACCAGATGAATCCAGGCTGCCAGTCTCGAGATATCGGGCTGCCTCCAGATCCAGATCCAGTTCCGCGAAAGCGCACGCACAGTCCACAGACCGAGGTGCCTGTGTACTGAGCAGAGTTGATGGCCAGGGGGACCCCTGCATAGCCGGGGCTGGTGCCAAACCCATGGAAGTGGAAGGAGCAGTGGCCAAAGCCGCGGTCCCTGTAGCCGTAGTAAGTTCCCTGTGCACAGAAGGGTATGGTGGACGTCCGCACAGGGTTGAGAGAGCGCACCAGGCACGTGAGCCCTGCATGTGCATGCCAGCGCCCAGGCACAGGCTGTTATGGAATGCGTAAGGTTTTGCCCCCGGCATGGCTGGTGGGAAGCCGACGAGAAAAGATGGCCAGCAGTGATATACAGGCCGAGTCCCGCTTGTGGCGTACGCCACTCACATCGCCGGCAAATGTGCTTCCAAATGGGTTGGCCTTGGCACCACTCAGCCACAAAGCGACCAGCGCCAGCGCGGCAAGGCGAGTCTCCATGATCCGGACTGGGGGCAGTCTGTCGTGTGTGTACGTTGGATGCGGCAGGGCCTATGTCAGCTTAGGTGCGCGGTGAGCTCTGCGACACCAGGGCCTGCTGCAGGCAGCCCCATGCAATGCGAGCCCGTCAGACGCGCCTCCGGCGACCCAGCTGCTCAGCCCACTGGCCCTGCCAACTGATACATGTGTTAAATTTTGGTGTGATGGCTTCATACACCAGGCTGGTGGTGGTGATCGGTTGCTTCGACTGGTGAGGTGTGGGCCAAGGTGACCCCACCCCCCGGAGTTACGCTTGCTGCCATGCCAGGTCCCCAAAAAGACGGCTGCTTAACGCACCTGAATCCGTGAAAAGTGCGCCTGGAGAAGCGATCGGGGGACCTTCCAGGGTTGCGCGCAGCTTTGACGGGCTGAACTGCTCAGGTTGGAGATCGCGGTGGCACCCCGGGCAAACGCGTCTACGTACGTGTAATTGGCAGATTAATCCTTTGTAAGCGCCGCGAAGGTCCTGTTCACCATTCGACCTTTTTGACGCACCGGTCACCCGCTGCTCCCAGCCAGACTGACGGACAACACCCCCCGGACGACTCCAGTTATTGAGATCCTTGGGTGACCGGCTCCCTTTATGGATTTTGCACACATTTACTCGTGAATAGCGCTTGTCACTTCGCCAGCGCTGTGCTGCTCTAGCCGGGGTTGCTGCGGCCTTGCGCTGCTCTGCGCACGTGTGCGCGCAGCCACCCCGCCCAACCGATCAGGGCAACCAGCGGCAGTCAAACATTTGGCAGGCGGGCTGCGGACGTGCCTGGCATTCGAGTGCACATTGTTGTAACCATGCTGACCATAACTTATCATATACACCATACCTGCAGTAGCTGTCCACACCCGGATTCCAAAGTGATCAGTGGCTGCGCCCTGCGCGTGGCGGCAAATGATGACCGTGCGCCCCTGTACCTCCACGGCCTTGCACCTCCGGGGGCAGCAATTTGGCTGGCTGGTTTCAAGTAGAATTCCTGCAATGCTCTCCATGCGCATGATCACATCGCGCTTTGCCAGCAGTGTGTGTACAAAGGAAACCACCAGAGACGAGTTAAACACAGGGGATGGGGTCCCTCCTCAAGCAAGTATTTTGATGCAAATAGCCAGAGTGGGTACGTCGGGGTGAGCGAAGCCTCGACCCAGGCCTTGTCCTGAAACCCCTGCTCATCTGCTGGAAGCGTCAAGGCACCACGTGTGGCCAAGCTGTTGACGAGCCCGGCTCACTGCTTGGCACCTGGTGATGACAAATCAACATACAAGCAATCAACATACATATCTTGGCACCAGATTCTCACTTCAACAAGTCATGCTCACCCTTTTGGGCACGCTATGCACAGATTGCGTGCTGTGCGACCCCTGCTCTCGTGTTGCTGAGTAGCTTGGGGTTCAGACCGTGGCGCGCGGCAACTCTGCGGTTCCCCGTCGTCTGACCTTCCCCAAACGTTGTGACATTACGGCTCAAACTTTCTTTGAAAAGCGTGCCTCTGCCAAGAACGGCGGGTTTCTTCCTCGGCATTGGCGGGCGCCATCGCAAGTGTTGTACAAGGAGATGTGCAAGGCGCGACTCCAAAGTAGGACTGCTTAGTGTCCCCCACTCTCAACCTCTATGTATGATTCAGTGTATAGTAGGGTACCGCTGGCGCGGGTACGGGCAGGAATATCCCCCTCGCTTTGAGCATACTGCTACTTGCCACATCTGCCGTGTGCGGTGTTGACGGTGGTGACGACGACTCTAGGCGCCCCATGGTAATCGCCCTCGTTACTGCATGCATGCTACAACCGAAATTAGATATAAGCCCACAGTGCATGTTTCAACACGAATCTTCCGCCCCGCCCGAGAACGATGCATGGGGGAGGAGTGTAGCAGGTGGGGTGGGTGGGGTGCATCACGGCACTTTGTCACCGGTTGGTGACGCAAATGCGATCTGGATGTTGCCTGCACGCGGCGAAGGCGTGCCTAACAAAATTATCAAGAGCGTTCCAGAAATCAACACGCATGCAATGCGTGTCCTTTGGCAGCGCCGGCCTGGGGCTGCAGGCTTAGCGTACACCGCTGCACGAGCGTCCTGCGAGAAAAGGGTGAGCATGTCTTTGCAGAAATGTTGCCGAGTGAGGACACGCTCCCCATGCTGTCTGGATAACGGTGCCGGCTGCTCGCCGTCCCTTGGATGGACACGCCGGCCGCCGCCTGTATGTTCGTGCTGCGGCGCTCACGCATGCCCAGCCCAGCGCCCCAGGCTGCCGGCGCGCTGCGTTTGCCTTTGGTGCAGGTGCTCGTATGCACACCTGTGCGTCACAGGCCGGGCCCTGCCTGGTGCCGAGCCCACGCGGAGGCAGTGGCGCCACAGCCCGAGTCCACGCACGAGGCCCTGGCGCTGCCCGCAGCCGCCGGCAGCACGCAGCCTCGGGACAAGCGGCAGGCGCGATGGGAAAGGCAGCGCGCTGCAGGCAAGCAGAAACAGCACCTGGAGCAGCAGCACCAGCAGCAGACCGCAGGCGCACAGGAGCAGAAGCAACGGCACCAGCAGCAGCAACAGCCGGAGGCTGCGCAATCGCTCCAGCGACTGCAGCAAGCAGCGGTCCCCTGGGCAGCGAGTCCAGCTGCCGCAGCTGTGGCGGCCGCGGCGGTGGCCGCAGTCTGCGCCGGCCGCTACGTAGTACCGCTCGCTGCCAAGTGGGCCGCGGGGCGTGAGGCAGGTGCCAGCGCAGCAAGGGGCCCGCTGGCGCAGCCGCCATTGGCAGGTGGGGCTGTGAGCGATCGCAGCTCCGGGGCTGCCATGCAGATCGCAGCAGCCGCGCCCGCGCGCCGTCCGCAGGCGCCCGCTGCGGGCCCTGCGGATGCAGCCCCCCTGCCTCGCGGGTGGTGGCGGGCGCTGCCGCGCGTCCACTATGTCAACTTTGGCGGCGCCCACGGCCTGCTGCCACGCGTGGCGCTCGACCCTCGGCGCCCCGCGCGCCAGCACCTGGTGGCATTTGAGGACGCGGCTGACGCCGACTACGTGGCCGGCTGCCTGCGCGACGCATTGGCAGAGGGGCCCGCGCCCGTCGGCGTCAGTAGCGGCGGCGGGGACGACGCGGCTGCCGCGGTGGCGCTGCAGGCCGCGGTGCGTGGGGGCCTGCGGCCGCGGGTAGTGGGGTCATCCCCGCTGCTGCTGGAGGATGTTGCGGCGCTGCAGGGCGCTGAGGTGGACGTGCTGCCGCGCGGGCGCATACGCCACGGCGCAGGCATGGGGCTCGAGGCTCTGGCGGCGCTGCTGCAGGAGGAGCTTGTGGGGGGAGGCGGCGCCGGCGCGGGCGGCGGCGCGGGCACACCAGGCGCGCCACGGTCCCCAACGCCTCGTGCGGCGTCCCCGGCAGCTGCTGCCCCCGAGCTCACCAACGTCTCTGGCCCCGGCAGCGCTGTCATCGGCAGCGGCCCGGCGCCTCCTGCCAGCGGCGGCTTTGTTCCTGTGAGCACCGACCTGCCCGACCTCCTGCTGCGCTCTCTGCAGTCACTGCCTGGCAGCATGGCGGCGGCCGCCGCGGCCGTGGCAGAGGTGGGGGCCACACCACCGCCACAGCCACGGCCACAGCCACAGCCACAGCCACAGCCACGTCCTCAGCAGCCGCTGTCCCAGCAAGTGGAGGCGGCCGGAGCTGCGGAGGCGGAGGGTTCTGCTGAGCCGTGGGGCTCTGCGAGCCCGGCCGGGGCAAAGGCCGACCTGCCAGGCAGCGCGCAAGTTTCAGGCACAGGCTTGGAGCAGGCGCAGGCGCAGCTGGAGCAGCAGCCCCACGAGCGCATGGGCGCGGGTGTGGGGCAGGCTCCTGGCCCGAGCGCACTCAGCAGCATGCCGCCCGCCGAAGCCGCCAGTGACAGCAGCGGTGGAGTCGCGCCCGCGCCTCGAGTTGAGGCCCCCACCAATGCGGCGATGAAACGCGCCCTTGGCCTCTTGAGTCCAACATTTGGCAAGACACCTCAGGAAATCTCGGCGATGCAGCAGGTGAGGCTGGCGGGGCGGTGCTGCGTAAAGTGCTGAGGTTCAGGTCTCATGTGGCGGGGCCTGGGGGGCACCATATTGGCAGATGTCCGTGAGCGGGCCGCCGCACTCTTGGCTTTGTGTCGGTGTGGTTCAGACGCACTGGGTCAAGTCTTCATTCAGATTTGGCCCTCAGGCAGGCCCACCGCGGCAAGGAGCCAGTTGCCCCAGGGTCCTTTGGGCCAAACAGGGTGGTCGGGCAGGGCCCATCGATCCCAACGGCATACGGTTATCGTGCCATGTGCGTCCCGGCTGTGTGATCACCCCTGCGCTGTGCTTCTCCCCTCAGGACCTGCTGTCGGAGTTCTATCAGCTGGAGGACGCCTGGCAGGAGGGGGAGGGCGGACGGGACGACAACGAGTGGTGGCTGGACAGCAAGGGCACGGGAGAGGAGCAGCAGCAGCAGCAGCAGCAGCGGCAGCAGCAGCAGCAGCAGCAGCAGCAACAGCGGCAGCAACAGCAGCAACAGCAGCAGCAGCAGCAGCAGCAGCAGCAGCAGCAGCAGCCACCGAGCGGCGCCCGCAGCTCGCCTGGTCCCCAGCGCTGGCCCGCGAGTGGCCCATCAGGTGTTGATGGCGGTGGCCTGGGCGCGGAGGTGTCTCTGCTGGAGCAGCAGCTGGGGGCGGTGCTGAAGCAGCAGCGTGAGGAGGAGGAGGGAGGCAGTGGCAGCTTGGGCTCCGGTGGCCGGGCCGCTGCACCCGGCCTGGGCAGCGCAGCACGCGGCCTGCGTTCCGTGCACTCCCAGCTGCAGGCGCTGCAGCGCCGTGTGGGCGACCACGTGGCCTCCCTCAGCAGTGTGGAGGCCCTGGATGCGGCCGGGCTGGTGGCGCCTGACGGCACCGTGGACAGGCGCGCAGGGCTGGGTGCCATGGTGAAGCTGCAGGACACACTGGACGGTGCGCGACAGGAGAGGGTGCTGCGGCGTGTTGGGCTGGGAGGGTACGGGGGAGTAGATTTGTGGTTATTGCTGAGGCAGCAGAGGATGGACGGTGTGGTCCAACACGGTTGCGCCCGCAGTGGAGTGTCTGGTGTGCTGTCATCGGTCCTGCAAGGGATGAAGCGCCGAGACACTGAATATCTGAGGCGATGGCCATCGTAGTCGCTGCCTCAGTCTACTACCCACCACCTACGCCCAACATCGCAGGCCTGAAACAGCTGCAGCGCCAGATGGAGGTCGCGGCCGCAGCGGCCGGCATGGAGCTGCCAGAGGATGGCCCACGGGCGTCTGACAAGATGCGGCGGGCCCTGGGTGTGACGCCGGAGGACGAGGCCAACATGCAGCGTGACATAGCGGATGCCAGGGCTGCAGCCGTGTCCGGCGCGGCAGGTGCCATCAGCGGGACGGCCAGCCGAAGCCAAACAGGCGGCCGCAGCAGCGCCAGAAGCGACGGCCCTGGGTTCAGCTGGCAGAGCAGCGGCGCGGAAGGCAAGCCGCAGCCAGTGCTCTCCGCTGTTGACATTGCTGCAGAGGAGGTGGGAGAAGCACCCCCGCTCTCTCAGACGGCACAGCAGCCGCAGCAAGTCGATCGTGCGCAGGCCAGCACCACCACCCCCACCAGCAGCAGCACCACCAGCACCACGAGCAGCAGCAGCAATAGCAATGTTGGCGGTGCAGAGGGTAGCCAGCGCGAATGGGGCTCCTGGGCCCGCAACAACCGCGCGGCTCGTGCTGGCGGCTCCATGTCGGCCCGCTCCCAAGCCCGCACTGGCACCAATGGCAGCGGCAGCGGCTCGGCACCTGGCGCCAGGCCCGACGTAGCATCGCCTAGCCGCCAGGCCGCCTCTCGTGGCGGCGCGGCCGCCGCGGGGGGTCCCGTGGTGACGGGGGACGGTGCCACCATTTTGAGCAAGCGCGTTGGCAGCAGCCGCGCCCCTCGGCCGCCCACTGACCCGCGCGTGCGGCAGGACAGCGTGCGCGAGGCCCTGCGGGTGGCGGCCGATGACTGGCAGGCCGCTGCCTCCGCACCCAGCAGCAGCAGCACCACCAGCAGCAGCAGCCTTGCCAGCAGCGGCGATCCGGAATTGGTGCCGTCCGAGCTGCTGGGCGGCTCCTTTGGGCGTGGCGAGCAGCCTTGGTGGCAGCGGCGCTTCTCTGCGCTGTACCTGCCTACCCTGGGGTACCCTGATGGCTCTGTCGGCTTTGTGCAGGCAGACGTGTCGCTCAAGGCGGGGGTGCGGGACGTGCGCGTGCTGACCTTTGAGGACCGCCACGACTGCATGCACTGCCTCACGGTGATGCGCGAGTGGCCAGAGGCGCAGGGCTGCCTCCTGTCCCTGGGCGCCATGCAGACGGCCACCCTGGAGCGCGACATTCGCGAGGCCTGGCTGGAGCAGCGCAGGCAGGTACAGGACCGCCGCTGGGCTGACGAGGCAGCGGGGCGCGGCGCCGCAGCGGGGCCAGAGCTCCCGGGGCCGTCCCCGCCCAGCGGCCTGGTTGTGTTCCGGCGAGGCAAGCTGCCGCTGCGCGTGGGCATGCAGCAGGAGGAATTCATGCAGCTGGTTGTGTACCAGGCTGCGGCTCAGGGCGCGCTGGGCCGCGTGGGCTACGACTTTGACGACTGACGCAGGGTAGCGAGCTTGCTGCCACTGCGGTTTCTCAGCCTCCCAGCACAGGATGGCTTGGAGTTGTAATGTCCTCATGTCCCCTGCAACAATTACATCGCCATAAGAGTCTGCAGGTTCATCAGGCCAGCCTATTTTCGCCGCTTGACGCCTGTGTGCCTGCCCCTGCCCGACCTGCCACCGCCACGGCGGCCGCCACCACCGCCACCGCGGCCCCGCCCGCCACCACTACCGCCGCTGCCACTGCCGCGTTGTTTCTGCTGCTGGGCGCCGCCGCCCTCGTCCCCTGAGTCGCTGCTATCTTCAGAGTCATTGTCAGAATCGTCCGAGCCGTCGGCCGAGCCCACATCCAGCTCCTCCGATTCCTCCGACTCCTCTGACTCCTCCGAGTCAGCCTCGCGCCGCTGCTTCTTGCCGGCCTGACGCCGCGGCTGGGGCTCCTGCCTGCTGCGATCAACCGCTTCCGGGGCCGCGGCCGCCGCCAACGGAGGCAGCCAGGCCACGGTTGTAAGCTGCTGCTTCGTGTAAGCACGGCCCAGGTTTGCGCGGCTCGTGGCATTGTGCACGCGCACAAAACGATCCAGCCCTGCGGAAGCAATAAGCGGCTCGCCGCCAGGATGAATCGCCAGCGCGCGCACTGAGCCGGCCGCCCCCTTGAGGGCGCCGCCCATGCGGCCTGTGCGCAGGTCCAGCGCCTCGACAGCGCCCGCGCCGTTGGCCGCCCACACGCGCTGCCCTGCCATGGGGCGCGCCAAGGGGTGGGCGGGTTGTGAGGAGAGAGTCGTCGTGATGTAGTAGGGGGTGCATGGGTGGTGCACTTGCAGCCCGACCGCCTGAGTGCATTCTGTACCGCGCCGTGGGTGCTGAAAGAAACCGTCACGGCGGCGTCCTCCATCCACGCACCTGCATCATCTACCGCCAGCGCAGTGACGCGCGCGTCCCGCCAGGCCACCTCCATCTGGGGCCGCCGCCCAGCCGCTGTGTCGTACAGCAGCAGCTTGTGGCTGGTGTTGCCCGCCACCACCACACGTCGGCCCACAGAGCAGCTGGCGTCCTCCCCTCCGCCAGCCCCACCGCCCCTGCCGCTGCGGCCGAGGTAGCCGCCCCCGCCGTCCAGGAACGTGGCCGCGGTGACGTGTGCCAGGTCCACGAGTCCGATGCTGCTGGGCTTGGCGCCCTTGGCCTGCCACGCGCGCGACTGCGTTGCAAGGTCCCACAGGCTCAGCTGGCAGCCCTCTCCGCCAACCGCCAGGGCGGCGCTGTCACCGCTGAGGGCCTGCGCACGTGGTGAGGGCCTCACGGGTGTGAGGGAGCTGCATGCCAGCGCGGCGGCATGCTGCCAGACAGCCGTGGTACTGGTTCACCCGGCCTGCTGCTGCGTTGCCTGTGTGACACCACAAATGCAGATCCCCAGCGCCAACAGGCAGCTCCTGCACTCCTGACTCCATGCAACGCCTGTTCAGCCCCGCGCGTACCGAGCAGGCCACCGAGGGCGCCGCCTGGAAGCTGCTGCTCTGCTCCCAAGCAGCCTGCGCGCCCGCCACCGCCGTGTGCAGGCTCACGCGCCCGCCCGCCGTGACGCTGAGAGCTCTGAGGTGTGCGGCGGCTGCCGCGTCTGCCGCAGACAGGCCGTTGCCGGGTGGCAGGCTCCCCAGGAAATGGACGCCCACCACCCTGGCAGTGCCCGGGCTACCGACGTTGCGCTGCTCGCCCGCTGCCTGCCAGGACGCCACCTGGGTTCCCGCACCACCGTCCAGGACCTGCACGCTGCCGCCCAGGCGCCCAGCTGCCAGCAACGATGGTGTGCCTGGGGCCAGAAATGTTGAGAAAGGCAAGCACCGCAACAAAGACGGGCGATAAGCACGACAGCTTTGACAAGGGGGTGCGGCAAGCACTGTGCGCACTGCACTCGCCACATCGCCACTGGGCGTCTAGAGACCCCACCCAACCCGCCACCGTTGTCCCATTGGCGGTAGTAAGAGGCGACTGCATCCAGCACGGGCCGCGGCCAGGCCAGTCCTCCGATGTCGCCGCACCTGGCTCAAAGGAGCTGGAGGTGCTGCACAGAGCCGTGATGCCGTTCTTGCGATCCACGGTGCCCCTGCGGCCAGACAGTCAGACGATGCACCGTCTTACTGACCGTACCAGAAACCAGCAGCCTACGTGCTGCCTGCCGGATGGGGCATGGGTGCACCCCCGCTAGACCCATCAACCATTTGTTGCATCCAGGGCGTGCCTCACCAGTTGGCCACTACAGCTGCATCGCCCCATTTCGGACCGGCCGGCACCTCCACCACTGTAGCGGAAGGACAAAGGGCGTGGCATATGTGTTGTACTATGAGATTAAAGGGCAGCAACACGGAAAGGGGGGAGGCGACGGGGGCGAAAGCGGCGGCGGCGTGTGCACGCGACCGCGGGCGGCGCAGGAAGAGTGGCGTCAAGAGCGTTGCAGCAGTGGCGACAAAGTCAATGTCGAAACGGCGCATATGGATGTATGCGATCCGAAGACACACCCTTCAGGAGCCCAAGCTCGTCTGCGGCCACCAGGCGAAAAGCCGCCGATGCTTGCGGTTCCATGACCCTTGCCGCAGCAGACTATCAAACCAGAACGCGTATTTGGAAGTGAAGAAGTTAACTCACAAACGCTCTGCGGTGTACCTCAGCTGACTGATCTAGGTTCACAAGTGACTGCCCCACTTGCTCAACAGCTGCCCAGCTCGCCAGCATGATTAACTTGAGAGCAGCAATCAAATGGCATGGTGCGCTGACATGTGGTCACACGTGTGCTGCGGCATGGCCAGTGCGGGCGTGGCGCAGCGCAGCGGCCAACGCGCGCCCCCCGCTGCTGGCCCAATCCACGCTCTACACGCAGGGTCATGCAACGCGCTTGCACGGCAAGCGTACAGTAGCACGGCTGGGGCCTACGCTGAAGCAGGTAGGGTCCTGCCTGCGAGCGATGTTTGGTGTGTACCTGCGTTGCCTATGCGGGCTGTAAATGTGGCATTGATGGCAGCGCCGGTGTGCGCAACATATTCAATACGCGATTGCATGTCCCATTTGGGCTTGCGTCAATTTTGCAGGATCGGCGCCGGAATCTGCAGCAGCAACGTCCAGCACAGAGGCGCAGGATGAAACAGCGCAGCAGCAACAGCAGCAGCGGCAGGGAGGCAGCGGCGCGGCCAGCGCCAGCGGCCGTCCCCCCCACATTGGCCTTGAACACCCCGACCTCAAGGCTTACCTCAGGTTCTTGGGGCCACGCACGGAGCGTGCAATGGGGTGTGCTACGGGCTCGCAGGTGCCAGGGGCGTACACGCCCTGAGCTGCGGCCGGTGCTGGCACTGTGGCGACGCCCAGCATTTGCCAGTTTTGCGGTGCAGGGAGGCCGAAGGTCGACCGCTGTGGGTCCTTGACGCACGCTCACTGCCACCCATGTTGTGGCCCTGCCCCCGCATGTTCAGCCACAACACTTCATTCAAGACTGACGAGGAGAAGCTGTTCAAGGTCGGCATGATCGCGGCGATGGACAGGAAGGGCAAGACCGGTGGGTTCGGGTTGGCGC